GTGGGTTTGTTCCGAACTACACGCTGAATACCCATCTACTATCTAGTAATTCAAATATTATGTATGTTAGTGTGTGTCTGGTCCGAACTACACGCTGAATACCGATCTACTAGCTAGTAATTCAAATATTGTGTATGCTGGTGTATTTGTTCCGAACTACACGCTGAATACCGATCTACTAGCTAGTAATTCAAATATTGTGTATGCTGGTGTATTTGGTCCGAACTACACGCTGAAAACCCAACTACTAGCTAGTAATTCAAATATTATGTATGTTAGTTTGTTTGTTTCGAACTACACGCTGAATACCGATCTACTAGCTAGTAATTCAAATATTGTGTATGCCGGTGTATTTGGTATGAACTACACACTGAATACCCATCTACTAGCTAGTAATTCAAATATTGTGTATGATGGTGTATTTGGTTCCGAACTACACGCTAAATACCGATCTACTAGCTAGTAATTCAAGTATTGTGTATGCCGGTGTATTTGGTCTGAACTACACGCTGAGTACCCATCTACTAGCTAGTAATTCAAATATTATGTATGCTAGTGGGTTTGTTCCGAACTACACAGAGAATACCCATCTACTAGCTAGTAATTCAAATATTATGTATGTTAGTGTGTCTGGTCCGAACTACACGCTGAATACCGATCTACTAGCTAGTAATTCAAATATTGTGTATGCTGGTGTATTTGTTCCGAACTACACGCTGAATACCGATCTACTAGCTAGTAATTCAAATATTGTGTATGCTGGTGTATTTGGTCCGAACTACACGCTGAATACCTAACTACTAGCTAGTAATTCAAATATTATGTATGTTAGTTTGTTTGTTTCGAACTACACGCTGAATACCGATCTACTAGCTAGTAATTCAAATATTGTGTATGCCGGTGTATTTGGTATGAACTACACGCTGAATACCCATCTACTAGCTAGTAATTCAAATATTGTGTATGATGGTGTATTTAGTCCGAACTACACGCTGAATACCGATCTACTAGCTAGTAATTCAAATATTGTGTATGCCGGTGTATTTGGTCTGAACTACACGCTGAGTACCCATCTACTAGCTAGTAATTCAAATATTATGTATGCTAGTGGGTTTGTTCCGAGCTACACGCTGAATACCCATCTACTAGCTAGTAATTCAAATATTATGTATGTTAGTGTGTCTGGTCCGAACTACACGCTGAGTACCCATCTACTAGCTAGTAATTCAAATATTATGTATGCTAGTGGGTTTGTTCCGAACTACACGCTGAATACCCATCTACTATCTAGTAATTCAAATATTATGTATGTTAGTGTGTCTGGTCCGAACTACACGCTGAATACCGATCTACTAGCTAGTAATTCAAATATTGTGTATGCTGGTGTATTTGTTCCGAACTACACGCTGAATACCGATCTACTAGCTAGTAATTCAAATATTGTGTATGCTGGTGTATTTGGTCCGAACTACACGCTGAAAACCCAACTACTAGCTAGTAATTCAAATATTATGTATGTTAGTTTGTTTGTTTCGAACTACACGCTGAATACCGATCTACTAGCTAGTAATTCAAATATTGTGTATGCCGGTGTATTTGGTATGAACTACACTCTGAATACCGATCTACTAGCTAGTAATTCAAATATTGTGTATGATGGTGTATTTTGGTCCGAACTACACGCTAAATACCGATCTACTAGCTAGTAATTCAAGTATTGTGTATGCCGGTGTATTTGGTCTGAACTACACGCTGAGTACCCATCTACTAGCTAGTAATTCAAATATTATGTATGCTAGTGGGTTTGTTCCGAACTACACAGAGAATACCCATCTACTAGCTAGTAATTCAAATATTATGTATGTTAGTGTGTCTGGTCCGAACTACACGCTGAATACCGATCTACTAGCTAGTAATTCAAATATTGTGTATGCTGGTGTATTTGTTCCGAACTACACGCTGAATACCGATCTACTAGCTAGTAATTCAAATATTGTGTATGCTGGTGTATTTGTTCCGAACTACACGCTGAATACCGATCTACTAGCTAGTAATTCAAATATTGTGTATGCTGGTGTATTTGGTCCGAACTACACGCTGAATACCTAACTACTAGCTAGTAATTCAAATATTATGTATGTTAGTTTGTTTGTTTCGAACTACACGCTGAATACCGATCTACTAGCTAGTAATTCAAATATTGTGTATGCCGGTGTATTTGGTATGAACTACACGCTGAATACCCATCTACTAGCTAGTAATTCAAATATTGTGTATGATGGTGTATTTAGTCCGAACTACACGCTGAATACCGATCTACTAGCTAGTAATTCAAATATTGTGTATGCCGGTGTATTTGGTCTGAACTACACGCTGAGTACCGATCTACTAGCTAGTAATTCAAATATTATGTATGCTAGTGGGTTTGTTCCGAGCTACACGCTGAATACCCATCTACTAGCTAGTAATTCAAATATTATGTATGTTAGTGTGTCTGGTCCGAACTACACGCTGAATACCGATCTACTAGCTAGTAATTCAAATATTGTGTATGCTGGTGTATTTGTTCCGAACTACACGCTGAATACCGATCTACTAGCTAGTAATTCAAATATTGTGTATGCTGGTGTATTTGTTCCGAACTACACGCTGAATACCGATCTACTAGCTAGTAATTCAAATATTGTGTATGCTGGTGTATTTGGTCCGAACTACACGCTGAATACCGATCTACTAGCTAGTAATTCAAATATTGTGTATGCTGGTGTATTTGTTCCGAACTACACGCTGAATACCGATCTACTAGCTAGTAATTCAAATATTGGCGAATTACTAGCTGAACTACGATGTACAATGTACAAGCCAACTTCACATACCTGATACATACATGTATACATACATAAACAACTTGTAAAAATATAAAACAATTAAAGTATCATCTTGATTTTAGATTGTAACAGTTTGTATCTGATATACTTGTATCGGGAATTTTACCTGACCAGAATTTCTAATTCTTATTTAAATATCATGTTGCACCTTTTTTATCTACTTGATTGACAAGAAATGCCTATTTAACTAAAAGGACACATTTTCTGTTGCCTTTGTCACATCCTAAGCAGTTTAAAGTTTATTGAAAAACTCAAGAGTTACAAACAATTTCAAATAATAGCAAGAATATCAAATACATAAAACAAGAGGCTCATCAGAGATACATTGTTAGAGAAGGTTTATGTTCATAAGTCAATAATAAGGTCACATTACGTTGTCATTTTTTATTTACTTAAGCTGAATAATTTCTAAAACATTTCTAGATATAAATAATACATACCAAATGTAAAATATCTGGGCATTGCAATTTATCACAAGAAGACTTGTTTTACTATATAAGCCAGACTCTATTATAACTTATTGACCCCAAAGATTGGCGTTCTTTAATCCAAGGAGCATGACTTGTTACATTTGAAAAGGACCACAAATTAATACTACATTCGAATAATCTAAACTCTTAAATCCCAGGAGAAAGACTTAAATAAACCTTAGTAGAAGACCACAAAGTGATGAATCATGTCTAACATTTGAGCTACACGTATGTATTAAATCTTTGGAGAAATAGATTTATATACATATACATGCATGTGTTCACAATTATGTGCAATGAATGTTGACTGTAAGTCTATATAAACTATGAGACCCCGAGGGCTGGTCCATATTGGAATTCAATGATATGATATTTTTAACTTTGGTTAAATTCGACTAAGCAATGCTCTGTGATTATAGATTTACATAAAAAGTTTATATAAATTAAGTGACCCCAGGCGTGAATCCAGTGATGATCCAAGTAGCAGGGTTTATATATCGTTTGTAGATGACTACAAGGTGATGCTACATAACAAATATCTCAGCTCTGGTCATTGTTGTTTCCAAGGAGAAGTTTGAAGACATTTATATACACATAATATAAACTAAGTGATCCAAGAGCCTGACCATACCCCGAGGTATGATTCATCACACTTTTAAAAGGACTTCAAGTTGTGGTGGCTGATTTATGCCATGTACCGGTATTTTCGCTCCGCGGGGCGGCAGGCGAAAACACGAAAATATGACAGTGGTTACTTATACATATGATGGTATTGATGGGAATAGACATGTTACAGGGAAGGGAAACCAAAAGAACATATTTCCATTGAGTTAGACAGACAATTACTTGTGACATTATAAACGAGTACATGTATAACATAGCATAATTATGCCACTAGTAGAGTTGTTAATGGTAGTTTGTATAACTGTTTTATTTGTTTAAAAACTTGTTTATATATCTCTAAAGTGATTCCCTTTATACATTTTTTTCTGACTTGAAGATTTAAACGTTTCTAAATGTGATGTACAGATACGTCAATCTATTATAATAAGAGCAAATATACATTATACAATAATAAAAGGCGTTTTTCCAAAAACAATTGCTCAAAAGGCTAAATATGTTCAGATACATAGTCTGATTATTTTACTTGACTTCTGACCAATTTATTAAAATTAAAATAACTCAATTATAGCCTCAACAGAGAAAAAAACATATTTATTTTAGTTACATATGGCATCAAATCAAAACACAATTGGAAACAGAAGGCCTTTATATATTTTAGTGGTCACCGGTGCATTAATGAAATCAGTGACAATGACCCTGTCAGTTTTCATTTAAACAAAAAAAGTTACAAGTTTTCAAATTTTTAAGTTGAAATATCTCAAATCCTAGAGTTTTATAGAAATTGACCTGCGATAAATGAGCGACGTTTTCAACAATCTCTGCTGATAGAAAATAAGTCATCTCCATGAAACAAAAACCCATTGCATTGTTAGAAGGCGGCTTCCATAGTACATATAAAGAGAAACTATTTAAGCGTTACTAACGATTTATTCACTCAAAGACTAAATGAGTACACATGTTAATAAACATGAATATAGTAATATTATGATACTAATTATTAAAATGTAGTACATGTTACCTTACAGTAGGTATGACAACAATGACAAGTTGAGTCGATTACCCATACACCTGTCCATCCTGAACCATTAGACGTCGATCTATCGAACATTCTGAAGTGTAACGTCCTTTACATTATTAAGTATAAACGTAATAAACTATTTTCACCGTTCAGCCATTTTTGTGTATTATTATGTTTACAATCAAGTAAATTTCATCATAACTTTATATCGATTCGTAAATTTAGATAAAATAATCAGGGACGTTATCTTATGTGTATAAGAGGTATTATTGAAGTATTGATATTATATCTTTAATAATACGAGGAAAACCGGTTGATAGTTGTTGCCTAAATCTATTCCAATATATCGAATAAAACTCCACCTAAATTAAATAAATTTATAGATATGATAGTAAACAGTAAATTATTTACATGTATATACTTATTAAAATGGCTGTAGAAACCAAAAATACAAAATGTTCATTTGTTAACATTAAATCAGATTTGGTTATAATTGTAGATCAGTGGACTTTTTTTAATCAGACATATGTTCAATCATAATTTTATCGGGCTAGAATTTATTTTCGTTTGGATGTTGAATACATACTACATCCGTTATACATTATCAAAGATTGCATCCTCTGTTTTTGTTTATGTCACGGCATTGAACTGTTCACTAATTAGGGTAAATAAAGTGTAAAAAACAACAACAACAATAACTCGATTGTGCTGTGCTCTTGTGAATTCAATGTGGCTTACTGCCATGATCCGCAGCACTAATTCTTATGTAAACGTGGATGGGGATGGTGTAGGGAAGCAGTAAACGGTCTATATATATATAAAGTCAGACTTTGTATCGCAGAAGGCTGCATCATATGTCAACTCTACATAATTGAACCATTTTCTGCGAATAACTAAATTGAAAAATACTAAAATGATGATCTAACTATTTGGACGTAATACACTTCATGGTGAATATGTTGATGTATAAACACAAAATAAAAAAGTGTTCTTTTACACATAGAAAAATTGAAACCTGTATGAAATCTGAACAGTAATGGTCATGAATATTTTAAAAATTCATAAAGTCAGACATGATAAATAATAGGTAAAACAATTAGTTCATAAATATCTATTTTTCAAAGTATGTAATCATCATAAACTATAATATCCCAGTAAAAAGAAATCTGGAATGCCCAGAATTCGTGATCGTATTAAAAATTACGTTACATGGTTTATCTTAGTTTTAAACATATCAAAATGTCTGCCATTAAAAAATGAAAAATCTGTCGTCAGTGATTCATTGTGATTTATTGTACGTACTGCATACATATTAGTTGTTGTTGTTAAATATGTGTTATCCAGTTTCAACTTGCAGTTAGATGTTTTTAAGATTAAAAATAGTCCCCGTAAAAAAGAATTGGTACTTACGTTATGTGTTCGTGTTTATGTAGCATACACATACATTTATCAACTTAATTTCACTTCAAATTATATGTCGTGGGTTTGATTATACTGTAGAAAGTCTCATTTCAACGTAATAAAAAAAGAAAATGAAGACTAAAATACATTCCTGTCACTTATTTCGATTGTCAAGTAAAACGTAAGTACATAATCATTGTGCAAAACTGATAAGAAGAAAAGTTTGTTTAGTGTAATAAATTTGCCATAACAGAGATTTATAAGGGGTGTATGTTTTACTAATATATTGTATCGTTTGTTATTAAAAAAAGTATGTACCTGTAGCATATCTTATCTTAAATCCGAAACGAACTGATTAACATACTCGTTGACTCGTATATTATATGTACAGATTATTGAAATGCACAAGATAAAGAAAGCTTTACAGCGACCGAAAATATGATATTGGATAATTAAACGATTATATATATTGTTCCGTGAAACCGTGCGAACATTCTAGCTAAGCATAACGATGATGTCTTGGGCTGCAAGATTAATAGCAAAGGGTGTTGTCGGCTTAAATATGAAAGGTTGGGAAAACAAAACTCGTAAAAATTATCTAATTTGAATTTTCTAATTACATTTGTTAGAAGGTTGAATGAAAATTAAGATATTTTTTGGGCTGGGCTTAACGTCGCACAAACACATTATATAGGTCTTATAGCGACTTTCCAGCTTTAGTGATGGAGGAAGACCTCAGGTCCCACTCTGTATATTATTTCAGGCACAAACAGATACCAGAGTATAACCAACGATGTTCCTAAGCTAGCTGGAAAATTAAGATGCACGTATTTAGTTAGAAAAGCTCATCTAGTTTTCATCTGTTGTAATTTGATTCTTTTAATTTTGATTCATCACGCTCGGTGGTTGCTTCCTGGGTTTCTTGCCAGTATAGGAGTAACGTTGAGGAATGTAGAGAGTTTTAGAGAATCTCGCCTCTAGCGGGATTCGAATCCATGTACTTGTTAAAACGGTTGTCTTCATATGCCTTAAAAATACCTAATTATCAACTTAGTTTGGATACAATACATTTGCATCTAGTGAAAATTGTACATGTGGCGTTCTTGAATTAAACAAGATCTTCATCACGACTCACAAAACTAGCATATTTATTTTATTATTAGATTTAGCTGTACATACAATGTATATTCACTTTTAGAAGAAATTTATTAATTCTTACTGTATTCGCTCTTAAAAAGTGAATAAATTACATTATATACATGGAATATGATCATAGTAGCTGTTGCATCGAGATACTTAGTATATCTTCATAAATGTAATCTATAAAATCAATCAAAATTATATGACTATGTCCATGAGCTAAGAAAATTTGATTATGAAAAAAGTAAACAACAGAAATACAAGATAAAATAACGCACATAGAGATTTTATAAAAATCTGGAAACAAAGTGATCCCTCGGAAGCATTAATCGCATCAAAATTACAAGAGAACTGCAGACTCGGTTTGATTGAGTCTGTACATGAGGGATAATGAATACGTGCAACATCCCTTACGCCCCCTAGCACCGGCTTGAGCGGTACTCATAATATCATCAGCCTCATAATATATTTTCTGAATGCCTAACAAGCATATACACATAAAACAAGCAAAATACATATCAAAACTTCAGAAGACTGTGTCTGCCTTAAATAATAACTGTCTATAAAAAAAATTCAGCTCCCAACTTTTGAGATGCAAAATCAACAATTGGTGACCGAACTAGTGGAAGGTATGAACTCGATGTTCCTCGGGGTAGTCGGCCTTGTATCCCAATTGAAAGAGAACCAAAACTGTTGCTAGTGTGAATATAGTTGCAAGAAGGGATATTGGACTATTGGTATATCAAGAAAACAATTACTGCTGACTGCTGTGCACTACTGTAATTGTATAAGGCTAAACATTGATTCTGGCTATTTGTCCCTTGTTGACGGTACACGTCAGACCGACTATATGAAAGCCAACAAAGAAACCGGATGATGAAAAGGGAAGAAATAGGGCGATACTTCTAAATCCTTAAATGTACATGTATTCAATGCAAAAAATGCTCCACGTGCACCAGGATTACGGTGATTCTATATGAAAAATGTGTGGATGGACGTTCAAATTGGAGAACAGTGGTTTGAGGATTTATATTTCAAATTCCTAGATCCGAACAGGTCTTATAGCTGTTAATCCTTGATAGTCATACATCTTATACAACTTTAGCTGTACATGTATTACAATGAGCAATGACAGAGAACATATACATATAACTGCTCCTAGCATCTCCTTATATGTATGGTTAAACATATATGGAACGAGTGTGCTATTAACAATATTCTGTCTTATATATGCTTTGTAACTTGTTTAGCATTATAAAACTTTAATGGCATTCAGAATCCCGGCTTCAAAGATTGATAATTAACTTTTTCACTATAAATTAGAATTTATGTGTATAACACATACAACAAATGTATCTACAGATGCACTTTTTAAATGATTGAGGAGCTGAGTTGTTCATGCATTTTTTGGGGCAATATATTGTTCTTTGATAACTATGTTTGGGTTGTAAAGTGTTATTATAAAAGTGTTGAAATTCATTTTAAAATTCTACTTTTATTCTTTTAAACGTTGAATGTATTTTTTAAAACCTTAATTAAGGTCGCCATGTCGAAATACCGGACCCTCAACGGACAAAGCTTATACTATTATTACATGGAAAACCTTAGATGCTACCTGAGAAGTAGTGTTTGAAAAGCGCGAATAAATGTTCGATACTTTACTTTGCGGTGTCGAAAGTAGGATAAACATGAAAATATTAAAGATCTTGTTTTGTTTGTTTGTTTTGGGTTTTACGTCACATCGACACAGTATAGGTCATATCGCGTTCGAGCTTTACTGGTGGAGGAAGACCTCAGGTGCCCTTCCGTGCATTATTTCAGGCACGAACCGGCACCTGAGTAGAACCACCGACGTTCCGTAAGCTAGCTGGATAGCTTCCTCACATGAATGAATCCAAAGTCCCTGTCGGGATTCGAACCCACAGAGGTGAGGGACAAGTGGTTTGAAGTCAACGACCTTAACCACTCGGCCACGGACGCCCCAAAGATCTTGTAACAAACACATTTTTTATGGTTTTATATAAAAAAATATGATGCTCAAATTAAGATTTATCAATATTGTAAGTTCCAAAAAGCATTATTTAGAAAGATATTGCCGAATTTAATATATCATGTAAATAAATGGAGGTAATTAGAAATTTGTTTTCTATAAATTCTAAGTCAAATTTTCCAATAAGAAATGAATGCATATAATTAAATGATTTTGCAGTACATATTTTACATATTCTTCGATGTTTGAAAATTGTTGTATTTAATTAGCATTATTATAAACATGTATAATTTCACGTATGAGTGGTGTAACAACCTCAATTACAAAACATACAGGAACGAAAATTATCGTAAGGTGACGAAAAAGGGGTACTTAATTTACTGTATCAACGAAAAGTGTATGCTGGAAGAAAAATAATGTGGGAAAAAAAACACTTTACAAGCGATTTGCGAAAAATTACAGTGAGACAATGAAGACTCCAGTCTTTTATTTGAACAAACTTTGTAGACACTCACTAAAAGATGTTTCATGCTTAATATCTTAACTCTAGCTATTTGGGTTTTTTCAAAGAAGATTTTTTAAGTTTTTGCTATACACATATAAGGAAAATCAATGACCCCCGGGGCGGTGCCAATTTTGACCCCAGGGCTTTTATTTGAACAAACTTGGTAGACACCTATTAGAACATGTTTGATGCTAAATATCTTAGCCATAGCTCTTTGAGTTCTTTAAAAGAAGATTTTTTAAGTTTTTACTATATGCATATAGGGAAAATCAATGATCCCCCGGGGCGGGGCCAATTTTGACCCCAGGGCTTTTATTTGAACAAACTTGGTAGACACCCATTAGAACATGTTTCATGCTAAATATCTTAGCTGTAGCTCTTTTGGTTCTTTAAAAGAAGATTTTTTAAGTTTTTACTATATGTATATAGGGAAAATCAATGACCCCCCGGGGCGGGGCTAATTTTGAGCCCAGGGCTTTTATTTGAACAAACTTGGTAAACACTCACCAGAAGATGTTTCATGCCAAATATCTAAGCTCTAGCTCTTATGATTTTTTTAAAGAAGATATTTAAAAATTTTTCTTTCGGTTGCCATGGCAACCAGAGTTCTGCATGGAATTAAATTCTTTCTGCATGGAATTAAATTCTTTGAACAATTTTTAAAGGTGACCACCAAAGGAACATTCCTGTGAAGTTTGAATGAAATTGGCTTAGTGGTTTATGAGGAGATGTCATTTAAAGTAAAAGTTTACGGACGGACGGACGGCCGGACGGACGCCGGACGGACGCCGGACGAAAAGCGATCACAAAAGCTCACCCTGTCACTTTGTGACAGGTGAGCTAATAACATAGAAAGAACAACAAAGACATAGATTTCTTATTTTAAGTATCAGTTTAAATATTGAAATCGCTACCAGTAAAGTAATTAATATTATTCAAATAATAAAAAATATCAATATATTAAATATACGATATAATCGTATTGACTATATAATAATTATTTTTTGTAAGTCTTTAACAATGAAATGAGAAGCATGTGTATAAAGTAAATTATTTTGTTAAATTATTTTCTTCATCAATTTATTAAATAGTAGCCATTAAACAAATTTAAGTAATTGTGGTGTTATCTCATCGCCCATTTAGTTGTATAAACACTGAGACAATCAACTAACAGTTTGACACTACTATTAAATCAATTGTATAAACACTGCACTTAAGCATCAACATTTTACTAATCAGTGGTTTATTGGATCATTAAAATATTTCTTGACAACAGTCAATTTAAACACAGAAACTTCTCCATAAGTTTTATTTATATAATAATGAATTTTAGTCACAAAAAAATGATTATACATGACAAATATTGAAAAAGTCCCAATGCTTCTAATTTAATTTAAAGATATTTCTGATTTCAATGGCCATTAAAATTTTTGACATTTATCGCAAAAGCACTATACTAGCATTAAAATTTTTAACAATTTTTTATCCCATGTTTAAAATTAACAACAAAAAACATATTACTCATAGTTAATTATTGTCACAAGATTGTTATGCTTTAAGTTGAAATTGCCTATTGAGTCCATGTTTACAAAAGGTCAAATAGTTAGTTATATTAAAGTGTTATTTTAATGAAAATGGATCAAAGAATAGAAAAACACCTTATTTCAAAACAACAATAAAGAAAAGATTTCTGAAATGATACAGTAGAACTTAAATTACTTAGTTTTAAGTCATTGACAAAAAAGTGAAATCCCCCTTTTTAATTTATTTTTATTAAATTTAAGGTCTATTTTAGTTCAATTCAATTAAATATTTTAGGTCTATTTTAGTATATCAAAATAAGTTTGGTATAAAAAGGGAGTGAAACGTCTTCAAGACATTTCACTCCCATTTGGGAGTGAAATGTCTTGGTCTTGGTGTGAACCGTCTTAATAGTGAAACGTCTGTCTACCCTATGTCCGTACTTACCACATCCGCAATTTGACTGACAAAAGGGAAGTAACTTAATGATTACCTCCCTTGGCATGTACTGATAAGGGGAGGTCATTGTGTGCTTCTGTACAATCTAGTCTGGATTACCTGCCCTTTTCTCTCCGTACTAAATTTTAAAGTACGACGGGAACCAGACTACTGTACAATCTCCCAAACTCCTCACAGCTTAGTCCAATCTCCTACGCAGTGATCTCCCCTTATCAGTACAGAGATCTCTGCCATCACAAACATTGAAATATCCAAATTTGGATATTTATATTTTTTAGCTTTTTAATTTATTTTTCATTATTTTGTGTACTTTTGATACTTTTTTGTTAAAATATAACGGACGTAGGTACAAAAAGTTAAAAATAAAACAGAAAGAGAAAAATGACGTTAGATTTTCTATGCAACGGTCGATATTTACATTTGAATTTCGACGTTACGTCATGTGACTTTCATCATCATGTGACGTCTGTGAAGGCAGTGATTACAATTCTGCCAAGGGAGGTAATCAGTGTGAGGAGTTTGAGCTTAGTCTGGAGTTCCTTCCCCTTATACTACGTAGTAAATGTAGGCAGGGAACCACCAGACTACTCACAGCTTTGTAGACTGGTCCCCTGCGAACTTCTAAAAAGTATAAAGGTATAAAACATTGAAGCTACTGTTTTATGTTTGTTATATGAAACAGCTACAAGCCTACCGGGTACATTGTACAAATGTACATATCTAGTATCTATGAAATTGAATGACAGACTATTCTCTCCCTAACCGGTTCCTCTCCCTGACGGTTCTCTCCCTAACCGTTTCCTCCCCTGACGGTTCTCTCCCAAATTTGAAATATGCAGACAGTTCTCCCCCATTTTTTCTATAAGTTATCATTTTAGTTTTGACTTAATCTAATAATATTTCTTAATGAAGATTATTAAAAGAATGTGTTTGATATTAATGCATTTTATGTTTATCAGCTGAAAAGTGTTCGTAAATTTAACAACTTTATTTTGGTATTTTAATCCTATGAACACCTTCATTGTGAGAGATACAGATTATTGGACAGTGATTGGACACCTGTAATTATGTTAAGGTCTAGCTTGTAAATACTTATTCATCAACACCTTTTCACAGCTGTTTTAATCTAATCAGCACCTTGATTCTTGAGTAATAAATAAATAAATAAACACCTCAATTATCACTAACAGCAAACTTAACACATGTGTGTATTGAACTCCTTTTTTCATTATACAAAAGTAAAAAATTTAGCAATTAAAATTCATTAATCATATTTTGCTTATAAATTTCACATTTATTTATTTAAAAAAAAAAACCAATATCTTATGATTATCTTAATCAAGAAAATTATTTTCAATGACTAAACGCATTAAAAAGTATACATAAAAAAAAATCAGAATAATTTACTTATATGCTAAAAAAAAATTCTAATTTAATTTATAAATATCAATTGATAATAAAGTTACCAATTTATTTAACATCTAAATACTTCAATAAAATATTTTTTTTCTCTAATTTATATCAATTTACAATAAACTTTTCCATTTATTGTTGCTGATGATGCTAACAAAATTGAAACTTGAATTAAACATCTTAATACTTCATTAAAGTATTTTTCTATCTAATTTATATCAATTTATAATAATCTTACCAATTTATCTAACATCTAAACACTTCAATAAAATCTTTTTTTTTCTAATTTATATCAATTAATAATAAACTTACCCATTTATTTATCATCTAAATACTTTAATAATAATGTAATAATAAAAATAAGAATGGGGAGGAACTGTCTGCCTATTTGCAAATATGCAGACAGTTCTCCCCCAAAATAGGGAGAGAACCGTCAGGGAGGAAACGTCAGGCGAGGAACTGGTAAGGGATACCTATGAAATGTGACATTGTGTATACATTTCTTCATGTTTGGTTATATTCCGTCACTGACAGTGCTATGGGTAGCAAGACACCTCACCCCCCAGACACTTCACCCCTCAAATTTTGAAGACACTTCACCCCTTAAGACACTTCACCCCCCAAAATCAGTAAGACACTTCACCCCTCATCCAATTTTTTTCTATAAAGTAAATAAAACAAGTTGGTCAACAACAAAATGCTTATATATGTTTATATTTATTATTTTAAGTATTATTTGATTAAAAATTTTGCTTATTACCTTTATTTTAAAGCTGATTTAGGTTAATTGGTTGTATTGCCAAATGTATATCACAGCACTTTCATCCATTAAGTGTTTATTGCATGTCACCTTGTTTATTCAACATGTTGATTAGTTGTTTATTCAACGGTTATCTCACAATTGATTAGATAATTGAATTAAAATGGTATAATTGTATGAAAATTAAATTTATTCTTAATAAATAAAATGATATAAATGAATATGAATGAATGAATCGGTTGCTTTATAAAATATAGTAAATATAAATTATAAATAAATAAATTATTTATCATCATTATCAGACACAATTATCCTGCATTTCATACAAAGATCATTCATAATGTCATTTATTAAACAAATAAATAGCACCAGTTATGTAAATTAAGCACAAGGTTAAAGCACAAACCATCACCAAATGAGTGTAACTCAATGGTTATTATATGGTAAAGATCAAACTGAAAACAAACTTAAGTACCAAAACTTCAAGAATTAAATCAACTCAAAATTTATTAGACAATGGGTTAAAACAATAAACATACTCAATCACTATTGAATGTATTTAACATAATCTACATAAATAATTGTTAAACACAAAATAAAAAAAAAAATGAGGGGTGAAGTGTCTCAATCAAATTTCTTAAAATGAGGGGTGAACTGTCTGAGGGGTGAAGTGTCTGCAAAAAAGGGCCTAGGGTGAAGTGTCTGGGGGGTGAAGTGTCTGTAAGCCGTGCTATGTATGGCAAGTTAACCATTTTTTACAATTTGTGCATCATAATTTTGACATAAAGAATTACTTTAGTAAACATTTTTCACTGAATCGAGGGAAAAACTTGTTTCATTATTGTTGTTGTTGTGGCGTTCTATTTTTACCGTGGAAACCCAAAACCGGTTTCATTGGCTATTTTAATCTAGGACATTACCTGATTGGATAAGGCTAACAGGTGCTCGACTGGTTTAAATTTTGCGTTCATTGTCTCGTTGTTTGCAATATTTTATTTACGACGCAGTCCATTGGACAGAAATCTGTCCAATACGCTTGGGGGTTTCCTGATCCCATTATGGGCAGCCATCTTGGATGGGAACCATAATAGGACAGGGAACCAGATTAACAGCTTTGCTACAAACTCCTCACAGCGGTTACGTCACGCTTTGCTACTTTAACTGTACAGATCAGGGGAAGTAACCGCTGCGAGGAGTTTGGCTTTGCTACTGTACTGATCAGGGGAAGTAACCGCTGCGGGGAGTTTGACCAAACTCCTCACACTGATTACCTCCCTTGGCAGAATTGTAATTGTAATCTCTGTACTGATAAGGGGAGATCACTGCGTAGGAGATTGGAGTTTGACAACCACGCAGTGATTTCCCCTTAATTCTTCGGCGTACAATAATGCCAAGGGAGGTAATCGCTGTAGTGCAATAGACTGGTCCCCTGCGCACTTTCTAAAAAGTACTTGGATGGGAACCATAATAGGACAGGGAACCAGATTACTGTAGTGCGCAGGGTACCAGTCTAACTGATCAAGGGAAGTAACTGGGCAAGAACGAATGAATCAGGAAGAAGGAAGATTAGAAACTTTCTAAACAATTTTTTTGAGTAACTTACACCAAGCACACCAAGATGTCGCTGTTTCACGAAAATATGAAGCAGCTTTTATCTGGTAAATGTTTTTTTCTGCATGAAAGTTATTTTGAGCACTAGATTCTAGCCTGACTATAGAGACTTCAATGAGAGAATAATTTTTAATTTCTGAGATAATATTATTTGGTTCTGGGTCAGATATTCGTTTCTAGGGTGGAAATATTGCCTATACATACAAGAGCAGTGACTTAGCAAAATAACTAACTAATTGCTTAGTACAATTAGTTGGCCCATGGCCTGACTGTTTTTAATAGTTTTTATTCAGCTCACACCCTTTCACCTATGCAGGTGTTTCTCAGACTCATCACAGGTGGCAGTATCAGTGTTTTGACACACCACCCCACCATGCCCCTGGACCCCTGCTACAACCCTGAAAAAAATAATTCAACACTCTAAGGCTTACTATTTTAGTATAAGATTCTACTCAGGTGCCCGTTCCAGCCTGAAATAATGCACAGAAGGGCACCTCCACCATTAAAGCTGGAACATCGCCAAATGACTTATACTGTGTGGGTGTGACGTAAAACCCAAACAAACTATAAGATTGGCCTCAAGTCTATCACAAGGTAAAATGTAACCAACACTGAAAAGCCTTTGACTCTATCTCAATCCATTGAAAAGTTGCAGTACTTTGAAATCAGTTTGGATAGAAAAAAATCAAAGCAAAATACTTAAATAGTGATTTTTTGACAATTTTGAAATGTCCCCTCATTGCCATGGTAACAGGAAATTTAAGACCGAGCATGCTGTTACAAAGGCTATGATCCAGTCAACATTTGTGCCAAGTTTGATGAATAATCAATATTGAAGCATCTTTTATAGTTTCATAACAATTTGAACTTGTAACAGGAGGCTGCCACTTTTCACAAAATGCTCATGCAGTAATGAGTTTAGCCTATCAAAATTCCTTCAAGTCAAACTTACAAATAAGAGTTATAAAAAGTAATTCAAGTAAAGGAGCCGCAAGCAGATTTATCTTGAAGAAATATGTCAGTGGCTTAAGCCAAAAGTTCTTGCCGTACATGAGTCAGGTATGGCAAGCCTATATGCACTGTTGAGGCTAGCCGTATGGCATTTAAAAAAACAACCTAAAACAGAGAACTTTGAGTATCTGTCTGCAGCAAAATTCATGTGTTATAATCCTAACCCTAACCCTCTAACCCTAACCAATAACACTAACCCATAACCCTAGAAGTAATCTGAGTGATGTTAAGAGAAACATAAACTGATAAATACTGAAGAAATAATTTTGTGTAAAAAGTAGCTGCGGACATATTCTAAAGTCTAGCCCAGTAGGTAAGAATAATTACAGTTTTTAGCGTTTGATGATCGGAACTTTTTTCTTCTGAAAATCATGGACTTTATTGATTAAAGTCTGTGTGAAAATATGAGGAGGAATAAACTGAAATATTATTTAATCTTTCTATGGACAATATAGATGTAATGCATTTGAAAAAGAAATTTCATCTCAAACACTTTTAGCGGGAATTGAAAATTTCAAGATGTTGTTTGCTCACCATTAAAAGATGCAGCGCCTGTTTTTCACGATTTCAATTAGATTAAGTGGCAGTTAGATTATGACAAAGTATTTTTAATAATTATAACTTGTAAATAACACAGAATTTCCATCAGCTCACAAAAACTCTTAAAGGGGAATTTATTTATGATAGATCTATCTGATATCTTGTTATAATGGCTGAACATCATCCTTAAAATTATTTAGAAAAAATAAATTTGTTCATTCATTTGTTAAAATTTAATAAGAGGTGCAAGTTACTGCCTTCATCATTGCATTTATATATTATTGAAAAAAAAATGCATTGCGTCTAGCCTCAACAGTGTGTATAGGCTAGATGTACATGTCTCATGTATGGCTGGCTAGCAGTATGGGCCAATACAGCTAGCCACTTCCTAAAAATATTAATTGATGATAGCTCAGTAGAGTTCTCAGAAACAAAATCAAGCGCATAAATGTTGGTGATGTCAAATCATCATTCATTGCTAATATCCCTCAGAGCCTATCAATTGAAAGACATGTACATACATGTTTGCAACGTGTGAGGGATTGATTGTATAACTGATATGTCAAAACTCTAAAAAAGCAATGAAAAACATAATAAATTATGGTTGCTCATTAACACTGGCTTCCTTCTTTCTATTGATTGCAAAAAACATTAATAACAGTACCTGTATGTAACTATGCTGTTTGCTTTGAAATGGGCTTATTAACTTGCTACACAATCTAGCAATGAAATAGACCAATTAATTAGGATGTTTTCATGAATATGATGCAATAAAAAACATAAAGACTTGTCTGATTCAAAGTGGCAGCACTTTGAATTTACAGAAAAGGAAGAAATAGTAAATAAGCAAGAATGACATTTACATTATATAGAAAATACTATGTATGATGAGCAATTACTTTAAATTTGCCTTTTTTGTCTTTTTTTTTCATTAAACTTTGCTTTGTTTGTTAAACTGTTTTCTATTGTCTGCCTGTTACCTCTAAATCTAATCTTTTAAAGTAAAACTTCCTGATATCAAGATGACACAGCTCTGATACAATTTGAATGCTTTAGACTTCTAGGTAAAGATTAATATCTCAGTGACAAACATAGTTTTTCCTTGTTATGAGAAGGAAAAATTATCAGGGCATGCTTAAAAATGATGAAATCTGAAAATGTATCTACTTAAACGCTATGTTTTCCCTTTGTCAAGTTTAGATTAAAAATAATTAAATGCAACCAAAGTAGATGAAACACTTGTCTTAAATTTAATGCTAATCTGGAAAAAAATATGTGTAGAATTTCAGGTGAATCATAAAACACAGACATTTCCAATGATAAAATATCTTAAATACTTAAATTAATATGGCAACAATGATTTAAAGTAATGACTTGAATAAAATCATCATAGCTACCAGCCGACAGGCTAACAAACAAAGTTCCAGTTAAAACAACAAAGTTAAATTCATCAAGAGGTTGGTCAGTATATGCAAATAAAAAAATTCTTCATACTGTTTACGGTCATGAAGTTTTCTTTGTTCATAATGCAGCTGAGGGTCACAAGCAGGGCCTGTGATTTGTTGTTATGTAGGGAATTTAACTCCTCAGAATATAGTGAGTCCCCTAAACAGAAACCCTTGATTGCTGTTGGGATACTGCCATTACTGGTATATGTCTTCCTTTAATCAGTGACATCCATTAATGATAATTATAATATAACACAAAAGTTGAATGTTGATGTTATATAATAATCTTATTATCACTGTGCTGAAATAGATTTTACTTGAATATAAAAAAGATATTGTCCACAGAAATAGTTCCACAGCTATCTCCTGAATTTTGTTTAAATAAGTTATATTGTTAAATTGTATATACATGTTTATTAAAGAATTTGACTTGATATTACTAGTAAAAACTTGATGTAACTTGTTCAAAGTAAGTAATAAGACTCTTTTGTAAAATATCATCCATAAAATATTTAATTTTTTGTAATGATTATGTTATATTAAATATCATTAGATAATAATGTATAGCTAAATGTTTGGTAAAAAGACTGCAGCATGATATTGGTCCATTGGTCGGTCTGTCTGTCTTTGATGTGTGACAGATCATTAACTTGAGAACCTATGGGCCCATTACCCTGAAAATAAATTGGCTAGTAGATGACCCCTATTGATTTTGGGCTTGTATGGTCAAAGGTCAAGGTCACATTGGCTTCGTACATGTCAAAAGGTTTGCAACCAATTTTCACGACAACCAATTGCAGGGCCCTTGGCCCTCAAACTTCACAGGTGCATTGGTTTTGGCCAGTACATGAGTTTTATGACCCCTATTGATTTTGGGGTCACAAGGTGAAAGGTCAAGGTCACATTGACCTTGTATGTTTTAAACTGTATATGACCAATAACTTGACAAGTAACTTGCACTCAAACTTTTTTATTCTTGTTTTTCTTTAATTCATAAACATATTCTATTTCATAATAAGTTTCTTTGTGACTTACATAATAGTTACTTACTCTTACTACCCATTAAAGATACGATGGAGGGGGCATACATGTATATGTAATTTTGACGGTCTTTTTATTGATTTGACTTTCAAACCAATTATGAGAGTGCTTGGTCTTCTTACATCACTAATGTAGTGTGTAACTGTTATGCAGTGACCATTCACCTAAATAAGTTAATATTATACATCTGGTATAAACAAGTGTATTTGCATGGAAAGCACCTTATATTTTTGATTCTTGGATAACAATTTTTTTATGTTCTGTGCTAGAGTTTTACAGCTTTTGTTATTATATTTAGTGTATTACATTTGAGTATATTTGCTACAATCTCATACAAGAACTTTCTATTTCAGAGGTGGACAAGTTTCTAAATGACACTCTCAAGAAAGATGCTAAGTTAAGTAAGAAGACTCTAGAGCATAAACAGCTGATTCTCGACAAACTGGCAAAGTTTTATGAAGAAAATCCTCAAATGAAATTAGTTCCTAGCCAGGATTCTATCAGTGGTAATGAAAACTTAATTATCTCAAAATTATTTGTTTAAATGGTCCATGATCATTGTACATGTCCATGTATTTATGACACCTCATTTGGTTTTCTTATTGCTAACAAATTGTGTACTATCTGCATTGTATATATTTTGAACCACTTGAGGGATATTAAATATACCCCCACAAAGAGTTTGATGGGGGAGGGGGGAGGTTATATAAGATGAGCTTGTTGATCTGTCTGGTCTATGGTTTCTGCTTTATACATAGAGACAGAAATGAGATGGCTTCAGGAAAGAAAGCTCCTAAATTTTTACATACATGTCCATTAACAGGCATTTAGTGATTGAACTGTCTGTCCATTCATACAAGGATAACCTAAATCTGCAAGTTGGATATGACTTCATAAATTACATACTTACCACTACATAGTGCATGATCTTTGCAAGTTACATACATGTAACTGTGGTTTCCATTTTACCCCAGTTATTTCCATATTTTTCTCTTCCTTTTTTTGCATTTAGGAAATAGGTATGGTTAAGATATTTAGGCTAGTGAGATATGTCTATTGTTGTATCTATACCAGTGACTTCACACCTTCACACACTAACTAATCAGTATAACATGTGTGTGACATTCATCCTCTTCCCTAGTTACATGTATCTCTCTCTCTGTCATAGTTAATGTTTGTCTAGAGGAAAACTAAACAAATACTGCATGTATTAACTAGAAATTATATACAATGGATAATACTTATTCTGGAGAAGTTAAGTGTCTAAGAAACATATAATAACTTTCTTTTTTCATAGTTCTGAAGTTAAACCTTTGTTCAAGAACCATGACTCTCTATTTCAGACTGTATTTTTTTACAAAATTAAGTCCTTATGATATACAAGCATATTTTTATGCCCCCCCAAAGTGGGGGGCATATAGCGTTGCACTTGTCCGTCCGTACGTCTGTCCGTACGAACCCAGAGGTACTTGTGTGACTTGGAGAAAAATGTGTAACAGTAAATTCTCTTTGGTCCTATTCATTCCGTCTTTACTTGTGTGTCTTTTTTTAAGCCTTGTGTGACTTAAAATGGCCAAAAAGATCAAAGGAAAAGTCACATAAGTACCATTTTGTGAACAGCCCGTCAGACTCTGTCCGCACGTCCCAAAATCTTGTGAACGCAACTCCTCTTAAACCTGATGGCAGATTTTGCTTAAACTTTCAGGGATGAACAACCTTAATGGGTAGATGGTATGAAAGGAAGGAATTTTTGCTGCAACCAAATTTAACAGAATTATGGTCCTTTGTTGATTTTTTCACTATATACTATGTAGAAATTTTGTGAACGCAACTCCTCTTAAACCAGATAGCAGATTTTGCTTAAACTTCCAGGGATGAACAACCTTAATGTGTAGATGGTAGTAAAGGAAGGAATTTTTGCTGTGACCAAATTTAACAGAATTATGGCCCTTTGTTGATTTTTTCACTATATACCATATAGAAATTTTGTGAACGCAACTTCTCTTAAACCGGATGGCAGATTTTGCTTAAACTTCCAGGGATGAACAACCTTAATGTGTAGATAGTAGTAAGGAAGGAATTTTCACTGCGACCAAATTTTACAGAATTATGGCCCTTTGTTGATTTTTTCACTATATACCATATATATGTTGTCAGTGGGGGCATCCGTGTCCTTTGGACACAGTTTTAGTTTGGTAATAAATTTATGGCAAGTTTATGTATTTGTATGTGTCTACCGGTATTCAGTTTTTGACATTTTGTCTTTATGACAATTTGTGCATTTCTTAATTTCAATTCATTTTCAGCTAAAGATCCTGATGAGGCATCTTTGACAGGAAGTTCAAGGTCAGATGAAAATGAAGATGGCAATTATAATGATGGTATATGTTTTTACCAGATTATCTTGTAAATTGTATTTAGTTTTATCACAGGAAATTGACATTCTTTAAGCAAATAATTAAAAAAGAACGGCAAATATACCCCTCTATACTATATATATAGTATAGAGGGGTATATTTGCCGTTATTTTTTAATTATTTGCTTATAGAATGTCAATTTCCTGTGGTTTTATCCAGTTCTACATCATCAGTCATATTAAAAAAAAACCCACATATTATGTCACTAAGGTGATATAGACTATTTTTGTCTTACTTAGCTGCTAATCACCCCCAGCATCTTGTTAATTGTACACTGTATTGACAAAGAAATGTGCGAGGTAACCTTGCCAGACTAGTTTTTATAACCCAGAATCAATAATAAGGATATTTGTAAAATGCTCCTCTGTAATGAATGATTTGATTGGTTGGTTGGCTTAAAATAGCTTTATCTAAAACTTCAAATTGTCTAGATAGTGAAACAGAGTTACAGAGATTTTTTTTAGTTTTCACTCTATATATATAGATCTAAACTTAAGTCAGGTTGATGATATTCTATGTTAAGGACACAGAATGTGATTTAAGTAAAAATTTGAAAATTAATTTCACAATTCATCTTGTTATTTTATCAAATAAAGTATTCACCCATCAAATTGAATTCATTTTCTTTAAGCTGGAATAGGACTTATTTCTGCAACAGATCTGAATAACCCGGTGCTGACTGGTTTCCTGGAAAAGAAACAGAAAAAAGGTTTGGGTATTTAACATACATACTTGTTTATTTTTGCCTTCATCACTTGAGTACACTTTAGTATTTGATGCTGCAAAATTGTATACACATGTACATGTATACTTTAATATGAGAAAGCTACCAAACTAGTTTTTTTGAAAGTTAATAGTTTCACCTTGGTACACCAATACTATATACACTTGTTTATCAATATAAAGTATGATACTGCCAAGTTATATACCTTTGCTGTCCATTTTTAGCTCACCTGTCACAAAGTGACATGGTGAGCTTTTGTGGTCGCTTTTGGTCCTGCGTCTGTCCGTTCGTCCCTCAGTCAGTAAACTTTTACTTTAAATGACATCTCCTCATAAACCGCTGAGCCAATTTCATCCAAACTTCACAGGAATGTTCCTTTGGTAATCAACTTTACAAATTGTTCAAAGAATTTAATTCCAAGCAGAACTCTGGTTGCCATGGCAACCCAAAGAAAAAACTTAAAATCTCTTCTTTTAAAAAACCGAAGAGCTAGAGCTTTAATATTTGGCATGAAACATCATCTAGTCAGTGTCTACGAAGTTTGTTCAAATTAATGCCCTGGGGGTCATTGATTTTCCTTATTTGTATATAGTAAAAACTTAAAAAGTCTTCTTGACAAAAACCCAAATAGCTAGAGCTTAGCTATTAAATATGAAACATCTTCTAGTGGATGTCTATGAAGTTTGTTCAAATAAAAGCCCTTGGGTCAAAATTGGCCCCGCCCCAGGGGGTTATTGTTTTTCCCTTTATGTATATAGTAAAAACTTAAAAATCTTCTTTTAAAAAACCCAAAGAGCTAGAGCTTAGCTATTAAGCATGAAACATCATCTAGTCAGTGTCTACCAAGTTTGTTCAAATAAATGCCCTGGGGTCAAAATTGGCCTTACCCCATTGATTTTCCTTATTTGTATATAGTAAAAACTTAAAATATCTTCTTTTTAAAAAACCCAAATAGCTAGAGCTTAGCTATTAAGCATGAAACATCTTCTAGTGGATGTCTACGAAGTTTGTTCAAATAAAAGCCCTTGGGTAAAAATTGGCCCATCTTCAAATGGGTGTCTACCAAGTTTGTTCAAATAAAAGGCCCTGGGTAAAAATTGGCCCCGCCCCGGGGGCCTATAAACAGGTGAGCGATTTCAGGGCCATCATGGCCCTCTTGTTTCTAGTTATACCCTACAAACAAAGTTGGGGGGGGGGGGATGGGGGTATATAGGAGTCCAAAGTTTAATGTGGTATATACACATGCATGAGTCAGCTTTTTGGTTGGTCCACTATATGGTCTCCGGACGATAACTTGAATTTGGCATGAGTTATTGTAATTAAATTTGGTTTATAAGATAAAATAAAATACAGTGTTCAACCTTTTGTGAAAATATTGGTTGGAAATGCTTTTGAACTCCCTTTTGTCAAGGTCACTGTCACTTGAAATAGTAATAATGGTTTCCAGATGATAACTAGAGTAAGCAATGAAATATAGTAATCAAACTTGTTATTTTTCAAGCTTATGTGAAGACATCTCTTCAGATTGTTGTTGGACCCCCTAGGTTTAAGGTCAAGGTTTCTAGAAGATAGGCAGTTTACTATAATGACTTTTGGTACACCGATGAAACATCATAACATGTATATAGGTTGAGTTCAAATTTTGCTTCAGACCACTTTTTTTTTAAAGTTAAATTATGGGTGGTATGAATCACCTTTAATGATAACTCTAGAAAACCTGTTATTCTAATGCTTAAGTTGGCACTCTAAATGCTGATGATTTGATTTGATACTAAAATTTCATGCAATATTTCCTATTACATGCATCCTATGAAAAAGTTAACTGTTACATATTATGCTTTAGATAAATATAGAAATAATAATTTATTTTTAAGGTATCTTTGGTGGTGGAAAGTTTCAGAAAAGATGGTGTATAGCGCATGCTGGTAACTTTTATTACTACACAAGTGCTAAAGACAAGCAGCAAAATGGCTCGTTCAGACTTGAAGGTGAGTAATTATCATAGTGATATAGTGGTGTGATCTCAGTAGTGTTATTTTATATGTAGGGTGATCTCATTAGTGTAATTTTATATGTGGGGTGATCTCATTAGTGTTATTCTATATATGGGGTGATCTCATTAGTGTTATTCTATATGTAGGGTGATCTCATAAGTGTTATTTTATATTCGGAGTGATCTCATTAGTGTTATTCTATATATGGGGTGATCTCATTAGTGTTATTCTATATGTGGGGGGATCTCATTAGTGTTGTTTTATATGTGGTGTGATCTCTTTAGTGTTAATCTATATGTGGGGTTATGTCAGTCAGTCATCAAAGATTGAAATTTGCATTTAGAATGACATAATAGATTTACTTTATTAAAAATTTCATTGTATATGATTAAAAAAAAATTCTTTTAATATTTAAAATGATATCAATAATTAAAAAAATAGAGCATTTAGATAAATTGTTTTGTGTAAACATATCCTTCATAGTACTGCAAATTCATAGGATAAAATGACACCGAAGTGGTCTATGTCAGCCAACAGCAAGTTTTATATACCAAATTGTTCGTCTTGGTCTGTAGTTTCCGGAATGAATATTCATTTGGTTCAAGTCCGATGCGTAGCTTAAAAATCCAAGATGGCGTCAAAGATGGCCGCCAAATCCCTAAATAATCTAGAATATTAAATTTGCTCATATTTTGTTTCCGCTTTTGTATTTCAAGTGAAATTTTTGCAAGGAAGATATCATTTAAAGCGTTTTATACGTAGAGATTTAATTTTATTTGAGAAAACAGATTGCTTTTTGCTTTTATTATATGTAATTAAGCAAATAATGCTAAACTAACGGGTTTTTGCTATGATACTCTTGTCTTAGCTTAAACAGAGAAATATTTATTACTTATTTTGATATTCCACTATTGTAATGTATTCATCAGAGTAATGCTTTAATGCATTCATATCATATTTTAAGAAATCTTTCTTTGTAATTATGCAGTAAGACATATAAAATGAGAGGCGGTACATTAAAATAGTTTTTCAATGTAAGGTTGTAACTGGTACTTATTTGTTCTATATCAATTATTTCCCCAAATTTTGTGTTTCTGCCAAATTATAGCTTCTTTAGTGCAGTCCATGTAACTGATTAACATAATAAACCAGGAATATGACAATTTGCTTCTGGTTATTTAATGAATTATTGTTCAAATCGTACCCCACCCACTATGAATAAAAATCTAAAGAAACCTCTGACCCCTCGGTTACACTGATTAAATGGAATGACAATATTTACGTAAGTTAATAAACATAAGGTGATTTTCAAAGTGACATACTATTACAGGAATCCTGTCAGATCTAAAAATATGTTCAAAAATGTGTTACCAATTTAATAAACATGATTTTGTTGTAAGTTCACCTAAGGATTTGAAAAGTACAATGTATGCAAAACAACCTCTGCTCATTTATTTATATGTTACACACCTTTTATGTCAAATGAAATGTAATTTATTTTTTAAAGTTTTTTTAATTGACAAAATAGTGATTTAAAAAGTTTGATATTTTATCTACATATATCATTATTATATCGGTTTCATGAAACATGCATAGTAGTCGGATAAAACATAATGTTTTTATGAAAATCGTTCTTGGCATTATAATTGTGTTTGTGCTATTTTAACCCCTTCTATTTGACCTTTTTCGAGTTGTGTGGTTCTAGTATTTCTTTTTAAATAGTGTTAAATAACCCTTTGTATAAATAGTGTATAATAAAACTTTGGATATGTTACCTGCTTTTAAAGATAATATTTTGACCTTTGATCCCGTTATATAAAATATGATAAACAAGATCATCAAGGAAAGGCGGCGTTCAATGAACACAGCCCCCATAAATCCATTTTATTTAGTTTCGCCCATTGTTCTCTATTTATTGTGGACAATATGTTGTATGTCGTGAAATTGCACGAACATTTTACATTGAAGATAGTTACCATGATCACTTTCGTATGAATACATCTGTGGACGTGTCTTCACTTCTTTTAAAAGTGTACCAGTTTATGTAAAATTGAGAATTCTGCTTAAGCCGGTGCTAGAGGGTGTGGATGGTAGGTAACTTGCGATTACCACTACCGGTATGTTCCTATATGACGAAACAGTGTAAATAAAATAAATCCCCGCCAAGTAAAATTCTAACAATTGTTATGGTTACATTAGTCGAAATAAATAAAATACATACATGATCATGTAAATACATGTATGTACAATTAAGGTACAGCCTAATTACCATAACCAAAGTACTCGATGCCTTAAAGGAAGGCAGAGCAACAAGAACATCACTTACCAAGACAGAAGACGAAATTAAAACAATTAAGATCGCACAAAACGTCAAAAACGAAAATGTTGCAGGCTCGGTTTGATTATGCCTGTTCATGAACGGCACTGTCAAGTGCAAACTACAGTAAACGCCCCTAGCACCGAATTAAGCACAATTCAACATTTAATCATGGTTACGGTGAACTTTTGGATTTAGAAACAACCGCAGACGCGCTTATAATGTGGTTATCATGGATCAACGTCAGTGTCTATCCATAAAAAGCGGCGTATGGTCTCCAAGTACAAGAATGTGTGTGCCCTAAACAAGAAAACAACGAGCGGAACTAAATAAAATGGAACTTTGAAAGGGGATCAAAGGTTATGAAGCCTGCATGCCACAGATAAGCTGTCATCTCCACATAAATCAGGCCTGCATGCTTATACCTAGACGTAAACGAGTTTTTAAAGTACAATTAAATTTTGAATATATCTGAATAAAGACGGCAGGACTTTGTAAAATATTTACGTAATTTATGATAGCGATAGCCTTGTTTACGTTCACTTAGATATATTTAAGATTTTACTTGATCAAATTTGATTATTCATGTTGATATGAATAGGATATCATTTAGGTAGCGGTAAGTGCTATTTAATGCAACGTATAGCTTCCGGTTTTGAAATAGTAGAGAGACTTAACATAAAATCCCTCTAGTAACAATATAAAAGTAAATAAAGTAAACTAACATGTCATTGACATTATGATTGTAAAAATCAGGAAAAGAGAAGATCCTTTGAGAGCAATTAAACATGGCAAAGTTGATAATTCAAACTCAGTTTGATGGGGTCTGTTCATGAGACACCATATCTCACATCTCTTAGTATCGACTAAGTAGTATTCAATCCTCAACTATAAAAGTTTTGCAATCAATGATCCCGAAAGAAGTCGTCCGGTTAGCTCAATAGGTAGAGCGTTGGACTGTGAATCGGGCAACCCGTGTTTGATTCCCGGACGGGGCAGCTCACTTTCGTTGTGATTGATCATGAAATAGTTTCTACGATTATTTGCACTGTACCACTGCTCTGCTATTGCGAAAGTGAGGGTAACTAGAACTGGTAAACTGCTTGACAGCCTGCCCAGGAACGATTCGGTGGCTGAACTGTGCTCTGGTAAATTCAATGTGGTTACTGCCGTGATCCGGATTGAAAACTACCGACACAAACATCACCATAATATAACACTGTTAAACTGCTGTTGCAGACTCGGTTTGATTGAGCCTGTTCATGGACGGTACTGGAAAGTGCATGTTACTCTGCGTCCCCTAGCACATAGTATTACTATCAAGTACCCGCCAGGGAAAAGATTAGCTATTTTCGTCCAAGTGAAAGCTCTTCTAAATTCCTCCCATGAAGTTAACAACAAACTTGAAACAAAATGCTCAAAATCATACACAGGAGCTGTCAGTAGGACAGCGTGCTCGACTATTCTCAGTGCTTGATAGTAAAAAAATGCGACATAATATTGTAAAAAAAGCTTGATACAGTGACCTCCTCTGTACACAGGTTGTGATTATGATGGTGAACAAGTGTGCAAGGTCTCAAAGCGATATGTCGATGGAATTTGAAATTATCTGAGTACGTGGTACTGTAAATTCAAAGTTGAAAAAAGGGGCATAATTCTGTCAAAATGCTTGATAAACCTCCTCAAGTGTTCAAGTGGAGGGCATGATGGTAAACAAGTGTGCAAGATTCAATGTCATATGTCAATGGACTTTGAGATGGTACGCAAACTTTAACGCCGACGCTCGGGCGACTAGGATAGTTGTCCTTAATCGTCGAATAGTTGAGCTAAAAAGAAAATGCCCTCATTATATATATTTTTAATTCACTCAATATAGATATATATATTTACATTTATATAATATTTTATTCACAATTCAGACCCAGTCTAGCAGAAAAGTATCTTACTGTAAAATGAATAACTTACCCATTTTAAATGTTCTAGCAAATTACATTTTACATTTTAATGTATATATTATATCCGTCATCAATAATGACAAAACTCCAAATATACCAATGTTATAAATTGTATTAAGCAGTGTTATATCGGTCGCCAATTTTTTAAAAATTGTTTAGGCTTATCACCTTTAGGGATACATGTTATTATCAATTGTAGATTATCATATGTTAAGCCAATGCCTTAAAACAAGAGCTGCATGTCAGACAGCACGCTCGAATATTTAAAATCAACAGCCTGCATAATAAAGAAGTTCTCTTATTCATAAAGTAGTATAACTCTTTGAAATAAAAACATGTTAGAGGGAAGTAACCTACAATAGTGATGGTTGTGGAGATTAATCTTGTCCGAAAAATTCTGTAAGTTACTAAATAGATATTATTATTTCCTACTAAATGCTTAGCTTATGGGTGTTGAACAATGACCTACAAGCATAATCAAAATCACATTTGAAGACTAACAATCAATGTTTATGGCTAAGGAGAAACAAACTTGCAAACAAATCCTTAACAAAAGGCAAGCACAAGGTCAACGCAAATACCGAATTGCAGGTCAGTAAATTAGTTCCTTATTGTGTGCATAAAACAAATAAAAGAGATATTTCAACATTTAGACATACATGCAGGGCATTTTCTATGAAAGGTAAGATGTCTCATCACTAACCAATTAAATAAAATTATTAATCTTTTTAATACCACTATTATAATATAAAACAAAAAAGTATTTTATTTAAAGTTGACTCCCCGTTCGTAATACCCCACCCACTTTGTATATTAATTTAGATCAATAAAACACATTTATGGCATAGTTCGCTTATTCTAACTTATTCTAAATATGTGTAGATATAGTTTTAAAGCTGTATTAAACGAAATCATGAAAGTTATTCAGTTTAAACAAGAATAAGACTAATAAGTTATACATATTCAGAAAACACACCCAGTTTGCAATATATTTTTTCTTCTTTCGTTTAAATTAGGTGATGAAAACTAGAAAAAAATCAATAAAGTCAAAATTTATAGCAGGAGTAAGTTGAAAATAAGAAATTGTATGCAAAATGTCAATTGATTTAGAAAACTGAAAAAGGAAATAAGGCATCGTAAATATACTAGAATATTTAGGGAATTGGCGGCCATCTTTGACGCCATCTTGGATATCTTAGCTTCGCATCGGGGTTGGGCCAAATGAATATCCATTCCAGAAACTACAGATCCAGACGAACATTTTGGTATATGAAACTTGCTGTTGGCTGACATAGACCAGTTACCCCTCTAAATAGGCTAGTAAAATGGGCTGATTTGCAGCACTATCAGTTAAACAGTGCTTCTGGTAGTACATTCATGAAGTTTTTTACTGCAGGTTACAAGTTCAGAAATGCACCAGATTTATCCAGTAAAAAAGCTGAAAAGGAACTTTGCTTTGAACTTTACCATGAGTATACAGGGAAGCGTGTATATCAGGTATATGTTAGCATTTCTTTAGTAGCCTTGTGTTTACATTTTCAGCCTGACTTTAATATAAAAGAAAGAGCTATCCTACTCACCAAGGCATTAGGGTCTGTGCAACACTTTCAGTTAATTTTTTGGATTACCCCACTTTTTATTCGCTCTTAGACCTTCGGGACATATTTTGGTATGGCATTGTTCGTCTGTCTGTAGACAATTGATTTCAGCAGAATAAATTTTGAACTTTTATCATTGGTTTTGTTTATATTTGGCATGTTGTGTCACTTGCAGCGTTAAATGTGCCTGTGCTAGAGTCAACAAACTTTACAGGCATGTTGATCAGCATGTGTATTTGTGCACCTAGTGTTACCCCTCTGGATTAATTTAGTTTTGTTAGAGTTATTCCACTTGAATAAGTAAAAATGTCAATTTTCAATTTATGTTGCCTGTAGATCAAAAAGTATTTGACTTATTTTTAAGGTATAACCACCCTAATGGGCACTATAGGGAACTAAAAAATTGACATCATAGGTCAGATATATACCTTAAAGTACACCTGTATGCAAAATTTAAACAAAGTTTACCGTAAGGAAATCAAGTTATGGCCACTTTTCTGAACTCAAGCTAGGATGTTATGAGGGCTCTTTTTTAGAAATGAGGAACCTTTAAATAATCTGCAATAACATTCTAATGAAAAATGTTTTCCCATTAATTTTTTGTAAGAAACAAATAGTACCATTCAGCTAACAATCCACATAAGCAAAATTATGGTTTCTACTTAAAATTTATGAACTCTGTATAAAAATGTTACCCTACCCCACCCATTTTTACCACGTGTCTGACCATTTTCCTACTTAGGGAGCCTAATTTAAAAAATCCTTAAAATTTACCCAAATGAGTGTCTGTTTTCAAAGTTTCCCTAAATTTTTAAAGAGATATATATTTGTTGATCTTGTAAAATATGAAATACTTTTACCGTCTAGTTCTGATTTTATTACACTTTGAAAATATCAGGTACCATATTTATTACTAGATTTAGCATAATTTAGCCAATGAATACCTATATAAATTAAAAAATCAAAATTAAACACTTTTTTCTTTCCAAATGGGACATGAGAGATACATAAACAATGTTCAAAGAAAAAAAGAAAGAAAAAAAAGTTGATCCTTCTGGGGATTGAACCCACGGCCCTCATTTTCAATGTAGTTAACAGTAGTTCTAGCCTATTTGAATACTCTTCAAAGCGGAGCAAATGCATTAGGATGGTAATACCTTAAGTGAAACTATCCTGTTTTTTGCAGGATAATTTTCAAACGTTTTCAATGATTTTGTTTATATTTGACTTGCAAGTATGTTTTGACAAAACAGAAGTTTAATTTGATTTGCATTGCAATCAGCAGATTATGTTATAATTGCAACAAGAGTGTAGCATCTTTTAATTATATTGAGATTGTTCAAAAAGTAATTTGATTTTCATTTTGCTATTTTTAGCTCAGCTTTTTATTTCTTTTCTTTTTTCAGAAAAAAAAAGTAAATAAATTGAATGATTTTCTTTTTAAAGATTTGTTAAAACCTTTTATTTTTTGCTTTTAGAAAAAGTAACAAAAGTGAAGTGTTTGCTAATATGATGGCTATTGTTAGTATTTTATATGTATTTGTTTTCCAATTTAAGTTTATGGCAAAGAACAAGACAGAGTATGAGCAATGGCAGAATGCTTTAGAAAATGAAGGACACCCATTGATAGGTACAGACTTAAACCATTCCTGCATTGGTTGAATCTGAACAGAGAAGTCAACCAATCATAAGATTTCTTAAGAAAATTCAATATCTAAATTTTATGTAACACTAGAAGTGTTATTATGATAAAGAACTGTTTCTTTAACATTTATTAAGTAAGCCTTTGACTTTTCACCTCAAGTTAATTTTAAGCCTTTAAACTGTTATGACTGAAAGTTACCAATGTAAAACAAGCTTATTTTGGGTAAGGATAAAAACAGACTTATCTTCCTTACTTTTCATTAATGAAATAAACAGCTAAATGATAGCAGGAAAAAATAGAGGTCATGCATCATCTTTTAACCCTTTTTAGATGACTGGATAAAGTTGAAACATTTATTAATTATTTATGGTCTTATATTAATTATTTTTTTTGAAAATAACTTATGTTATTTTTATGCTCCCCAAAGGAAGGGCATATACAATGTAGAAGCTGCCTTGTTTGTCACACACTTGTCTGGAAAATAACTTGAAAAGTATAAATTTGACATAACTTTGGATGGAGGAAATGATCACTCGGGTCAATAATATGAATAGGAGATGAAAATAGGTTTTTATTCTTGCTCATGCAGCCTTTATATATTGACAGATGTGTTTCATATTGTGTCTGTACATACTTTTGGGTTGTCCTAACTTTGGTTTATTTGGGTCTTTGTTTAGTGACTGATGTGCATTGATGTTGATCGTTTTTAGTGCTATTCTTGTGTTTATATTGTAGAAGAGGACATTTATGAGGAAGTCGGGGCTGATGATCCATCTGCGGGCATGTCTAATATAAAACCAACCGTTCAACCAGAAAAACCTTCCATAGAAGAAGAACCTGTAGCAGAAGATGAATATGAAGATCCTGATGCCAAGCCTGGTGCACCACCAGTTCCACCATCTATAAAAGGCCTACATAAACTTCCACCTCCCCCACCACTTTCAACTTCTCCTGCATTGAAATCTAAAGTGGAAGATCATGTAAAAGCTCAACCAGAGCCTGCAGAACCTGATGAGCTTTATGATGATGCAACTAGCGTAGAAGCAGCAAAGAAAACAGAGCCACCTACTCCACCCCGTGGGCGACCACAACCTCCGGAGCCTGTTGAGGCTCCACCACAACCACCAGAGGTCCCCCCTCCGGTAAAAAGAGGTAATCGCCCCCAGAGAAATCTACCCCCACCGCCTCCCGAAAAGAAAAAGATAAAACTGAATATAACTTGCAAACCTGAAGAAGATTTCGAAAACAGATATTTTGGAAAGTGGGACTGTACAGGAGATAGTTCAAGTGAGCTCAGTTTTAAGAAAGGAGATATTATTTACATTCTGAGCAGGGAATTTGATGAAAAATCATGGTGGGTTGGGGAGCTGAATGGAAAATTTGGACTAGTTCCAAAAAATTTCCTTACAGCTGCATACTCCCCTGTTGCTTAGAGTCTAGGCTGCATTTATATGAAGTTACAGATCTGTTTAACAGTTACAATCAATTTCTTAACATAATTCCATTAATAAAAGTGAGACTAGAGAAACAGTATGTTTGGTGAGGAAGAAATATTTTGGCCATTCAGACATTACTAAAACACAGTATTATAGTTTGTATTATTTACTTTAAATGCTTTATCGCTTGCAGACTTCTTATTTTAGAATTATTATTCTAACCAATATTTCAAAATTATTTGCTTCTTTTATTGAAATACCAAAATTAACTAACTGATTTGTATCTTTGTGTACCATGTTATATGCCTGAACATTTTTTGCAAAAATGCTATGCACGTGGTTGTCCATCCATCATGTCTGCACGATAATTTCTAAACTCAGTAAAGGAAATAGAAACTACTTAGGAAAAATGTTAATTATAACAAGACCATCTGCAGAGGGTAAGTTTGGGCTTCCGTAGGTCAAGGGCTTACTTTAGTCAGTTTGAATTTCAATATTTAATGTATTTTGAACCGATTGAAAGAAATGAAAACATGTTTGCAGTAAATATAGTTATGAGTAAATATAGTACATTAATAATAATGTGTTGTTGTGCTCCAGGAACCACACAGTTCAAATAGACTAATTTATAACTTACTGTGTGACACTACGATACTATAAGTTTAGATATTAAGCTTGAAACATTGTCGTGTGGACTTCTTCAAAAATAATAATAATCATATAATTCCTGTGATTAGGGTAAACAAACTGCGCACACAAACTATCTTATTCTTGTATCTCTTCTAAGTCATCTTGTGATAAGTCTCTGTTGCCAAGTGGTTAAGGTTTCCCATCAACACTGTTGGTTTCCAGTCAAAGATCATGTAAGGCAGCTATCCTGAGCTTGCAAACAGAAGGTTGGTGGTTCTACTTGGGTGCCCACGCCACCTGTTAAGTCCGGAATTCGCAAAATGACCTTAAAACCAACAAATCAAAGTAATGTGGCAAGATCAGTTACTTGGCATATAGCAATATAGATCTAGACAAATGTTACATGAAATTATCATGCTCTTACGGTGAAAAATTTCCCTGCCCCGGGGTCACTTGATCTTCCGGACAAGTTTTATGAATGATTCTCTTCTCTAATATATTTGATTGTTTAAACAAATTTGTGTTTGTGCTTATATCCACCCTGACCTCGTTTTAACTTTATCTGTAAACCAAAACATAGTTGTCAAGAAGTTGATATTTTTCAAACTTTGTCAAGTACATGAAATCCAAACAAAATATTTAAAGTAACATTTTGTTATAGATCAAACTATAGAAATCATTTACAATAACAAAGGCCTATGAACTGTATAAATGGATGACAGTGTATATTTTTTACAGAGAAAACATTTTAATTTTACCACTGATGCCTTAACATGTCATTTTTGCTTGAGCTTAACATAATACAACATATATGATTATTCGCTCACATTGAGGATTGTTTCAGGTCATTGCCCTATGTTTTGAAGATCTATTTCAGTATTTCAGGGAATAATAACTTTTTTATTTGAAACTGAGCTATGCTATCTTATATAATTCGGGGATCATATTTATTTAAAAAAGATCATAATATCCAAATTTGAAAGGCATGATACTTTTGGTAATACAAGTGATTAAAGATATACTATGCTCAAGTTTGATATTAATAAATAATAAAAATTGCTATACAGTCTCTTTGTAAATATTGATAAGCATGTTTAGACTTCACCCAAAGTAGATAAGTTATTTTCAAAATACTATACATTATAGAAGATCACAATATAAATATATACGTAGTGTCATTAAAAAAAACTGGCAATTTTAGCTTACCTGAGCTAGGTCACGGTGAGCTTTTATTGTCTGTGAGCTTTTATTGTTGAATGTCTGTGGTCCGTCCAAATTTGTTCGTTATCATTCTTGTGGTCACATTTTTGCCTTTATTGTCATTAAACTTTGTCAGGGTGGTTTGTCTATGGAGTTCAAACATGGGTCATCTCGGATGAACAACTAGGTCACAGGAGCTAAAATAGAATAATCTTGTTAACACTGTAGTGGCTACTTTTTTATCCAAATATCCTGGAAATTGGTCTGAAAGTTTGTTTTGATGATTTCTAGGTCATCTTAGATGAAAAAATAGGCCACATGAGCTAATAATAGGAAAATCTTGTTAACACTCTATTTCTAGCTTAAGTGTGAATGTGGGTCATCTGGGGTCAAAAACTAGGTCACGCTGCCCAAATATGGAACATCTTGTTTTTTAACACTAGGGGTCACATTTTTGTCAGAATACTTGTCTAACATTTCTCGGATGAGTTTGATGGGTGAGATTAGCAAACTAGAGCCATCTTGGCCCTCTTGTTTTAAGAAAAGACCAACTTTTCTTGACCTGTAATAGGGAATGCAGCTTCTCATACATAGTTTATTCATTATTTTATTCAAATTAGACATATTCAGTAAGAATTTATTTCATAGATTTCAATAAATTTCTGTGATTTAAATATGTTACTCAAAGATGAGCAAAGTATTTCTTCAAATACTGATCATTATAGACATGAAAATGTCGAGTTATGAATCAGACCATTCTGACATGACCAAAGTATGTCCAAGTAAAATTTCTTTTAATTCTTTTAATCAGTGTCATTTTAAGAAATGTACTTGAAGTAATTTATTTGCTTGAACTGCCAAAATTATTACCGTTGTGCAGTAATTAGATTGACGTTTTTACATTTTGTGTTTGTTTAAGGCTTAATATTATAATCATTTTCATTGGAAATCATTTATGTTCATAGTATATACACTGATATATAATAAAAAAAATGATAACAATGCTTTTCGTGCGTTTGTTAATAATCATAATGTTAGTGTGGACAGCAGTGACATATATAGATTATATAGTAAATGTGTTAACAACAGATGTCGCGTGGCTTAAAAACATCGACAGTAAAGCCAAATGAAACGCTATGATCACCAAGAGTATTACAAAATTATAATAACTATTATCAGTCGGAATTAAATAGATCGAATAGAACTAAGATAATGTGCACTTTCAAATAGCAAGCTTGCGGATCTTGGGTAAAATAAACACTGATTTTTGGAAACATTTTAAAGCTAATTGGTCATAACCGTTAAATATTTAGAAACTAGCAGGATAGCTTCCTCATAGGAAAAATCCAAAGTCTCTATCGGGATTCAAACCATTTAATGATGTTGTAATAAAGGACTAAAAATTAATATGTAGTGGGAAATAATTTGTGACAAAGGAAGCATTAACTTGTATACAAAGTGATATTCGGACTTCCAAACAAAATACTAAATTAGATTGCCAGAATTATAGTTTATTATTAATAATAGCTATGTAAACTATAACAGGATACAAAAAATAAAAAGCCTTTATCTCGTTCCAAAATAAAAAGGGATTGTTCATTCAGTCCCTCTTTTTAGCCTAAAAATAGGGTTTTTGGATGCAAATATTACGGTTATTTTACACAAATGCTGAATACAAAAAAAGAACAAGTGACTCTTTTTTTCATTCAATTTAATAGAAAATGTGAATAAAATATATCACAAACATTTTGTTGGGCCGATCGAACAAATATAAATTTTGTTCAATCGACCGAACAAAATTTCTCTTTATTACTAAAACTTGTTAATTCAAATAGAATATTTAAAATAAACATTTCGATCGATCGAACAAAAATGTTGAGACACTATTAGAAAATTTCTGTCACAAACTGTACTAAAATATAACAAACATTTTGTTCGTTCGATGGAACAAATATTTTGTTTGCTCGATCGGACAAAAAAAAAGCAAACTATCTTAATATCTGTTTATTTGATTGACCAAACAAAATTTCATTTCATTAAAAAAATTGTTAAATCAAATTTAAACAAATTTTTTGATCGATCGAACAAAAAGGGCAAACATCTAAATAGTATGTTTGAACGACCGACCAAAATTCCTTTTCATTACCAAAACTTGTTTAACAAAATGAAAAAATTAAAATAAACATTTTGTTCGACTGATCAAACAAAAATGATATACAAAAGCACATTTCATTAGATAGAAAAAATGATGCATCCAATGAAAATATAAAATTGATATTTTGTTTGGTAAATACATGTAGACCAAAATAAAAAAAAATCTGACAGAAAATCATGTAGAAGTCATTTTGTTAAGTCGATCAAACAAAAGCATATACAAAAGCATATTTCGTGAGATATAAAATTGACCTTTTGTTCGGTCGATCAAACAAAATGCTATACAAAAGCATACATGTATTTCATTAGATAGAAAAAAAAATTAACATCCAATAAAAATGTAAAATTGACATTTTGTACAGACGATAGAACAAAACTAGAACTGCCACTGTCATGGCATGAATACCCCGCATACCACTTTGTTAGAATCAACAGTGGTCATTTAGAGCTCAAGGACAACCTCCCTGCCAAAATCAGAGAGTAGTACGCGTGTGCATTGCTAAGTTATTGCTCACAGGCGCGGAACTATTTGTGTGGACTATTTGTTTTGTCCGTGGTCCCGATTTTTATCAATTAATAAAAAAAGTACTCCTTCGCATTTCTATTGCGTAAATAGAGGATATTGAATGAGTGTAAGTTCAATACTGAATTTATTACACGAGTTGAATAAAATTATATTATGCGAGCCTCTGGCGGAACTCCATATTCGAGTCTACGAACAAGGGGTTCATTTCCCGGGCCGTTGTGAAAACAATTTTCCAGACAATTAAAATAAAATTTCATCGCTATTTAACGGTTGTATTAAGCTTCCAAATGAGACCGACCCCAATTCTCTAGCCCTTCCCGTTCCAGGAAACGAGCTCATTCGTGCTAAAAATCCCTTAGTAGACAAAATTGCGACACAACGATACGATACGTAAACATAGAGTAATACATGTTTGTACAGGTCAAAATCACTTGAATTTACTAAATAATATTACTTGTAGAAAATGAGTAGCATTATAGGTGAAAAATGTACATGCTTTGATATTTTTTATTATCTGATATTACTGACTACAGTAGTGACACAAACAGAACAATATTGCGCTACTGTCATGTCACATTACAGGTTGTAAGTCTTGTTTGTATTCAATGGAATTACTTTCCTTACGTGGTAGGCATCAGTAAAAGCATATTTTTGTAAATTTGATATCTGGCCCCTCTCTCTGGATAGTGCATACGATAAGTATAATTATGCAAAAAATGATTTATAAAACATCCGGAATAATGTACAATAGTACTTAATCTAAATAGAACATGACCTTTGCGTAAGAATGATTTGGTAAGGTATCTGTAATTAGCGCATTTTTTGCGCGGAGCTTCTCAATTGCTGCATTGCAACAACACTTGTATTTGTGCATTCTACATGTTTGTAGTGGCAAAGATCAAAGTGACTGTTGCCATTGACCTACTGACCTCAAAATGAATAGGGATTATTTACTGGTCATGACCAACCTCCATACCAAATATGAAGACAATGGGCAAAAGGATCTAATTCAGGGCTGACAAGCAAAACCAATCAGACCAGTATGTCCTCTCTACAACTTTGTTGTTCTTGACCAAATGCAGGGATATGTTTATGACCAACCTGTATGCAGAATATGAAGACTTTGGGCAGAAGCATTCTAGAGCTACTAAATGGACAAGCTTTTAGACCACTGATACTGTGGACAGATATTCTTAAGCATTTGAGCAGACAAGCTTATTGCTGAAAAAGCCCCTGTGACATTGACCTTCGAAAGTAAACTACAACTTTGTTGTGCAAGAGTATAATAATTCTGATAGAAAAAACTGTATAAAAATTCCTCTACAAGACAGTTTGTATGATTGATCGAACAAAATGCTAAACAAAAGCGTTAAATTCCAAAATTTGGAAGTCAGAAACTGCAAAATGTCCCACATTGGAAGTCACCAGTAAAGAGGGAATTAAGCATTATATTTTGGACACAAACCAAAATCAAGGAGTAAATAACCCCCTAACTTCCACTAACAGAAGCCCTGCCAATGAGGGGTTTTAATGAAACTTCATTGTAATGTTCACTTCAATGAGAAGCGATGTTGCGCACATAAACCATGTCATTAGTTAAACGGTCAAGGTCACACCTAGAGATCATTGAAAAAAAACTAAATCGTGCATTGAGGGATTTCAACATCTCTTGCCAAAAATATTCACCATTGTGAGACATAGCGTCACACGCTAAAATTGCCGTCCCTGTGGTCAAGGTCACATACAGAGGTCAAAAATCAAATAAAAGTATGGCATGTGTATAGGAACCATTAAGTCATCATTTATTAAGAGATTGTAACACAAATGGTCATTATCATGACTATAGCTGTGACACATGTATGTAATTTTGTTCAATATATGCAATGTCAAGGCCACTAAAATGGTGAAATATCCAGATTTTGTCTGGAGCATCTATATACTCTTACATGCATGGAAGATTTTTTAAATATTTTAAAGAAATGTTCACCACTATGAGACATTGCTTCACGCATGATCCCGGGCTTTAGGTCAAAGGTCAAGATCACACTTGATAGATTGTATAAATATCCAGATATTGTCCAGAGCATCTCCTACATGCATGGAGGAGTTTTAATGTTACTTTATAGAATTGTTATTGCCATGAGACAAAGTGTCCTGTGCATAAACCAGGCCTCAAGGTTATAAAACTTCTGTCTGAGTTCTGTCTCAAATTTCAGGATTTTCATTGGTCAGTGTACATTTTGTGGCAGTCTCTGACCAATCAAATACCCGAGATATGAGTTTGAGCTTAGAGAATTTCTTTATAACCTTGGGGCCTTGTCTCCAGATTAAAGGTTAAGGTCACATATAAATCTCTTTGAAAAACGGTTGTCGGGAGCAAAATTTGTGAAGCCGAGATTCGCGCATAAAATTCAGGTCACTGCAACCAAGGTCAAGGTCATACATGGAGTTAAAATTTAAGACAAAATTACGAAAATATGTATTATATGGGGACCAACTTGCTTGCCACACTTCCATCGCCCACATCTCCACCTAAAAATGTTTTACAAACTAGAAATGTGTCATCACGCCACGGATGCCCCCGCATGCAACCAAAATTTTAGATGTTATAATATTTAGTTCCAAATTTGTATGCACAAATTATTTTTGTCATTTTTATACAACGTTCAAGGCACTGAAACTATTCAGTGTTAACCTTTTGTAAATTTTGTGGCCAAAATAATGGCTACATACATTTCCACAAAAGTTTGAGTGCTGAAACTGAAAATTCAAATTTCCAACTTTCAAGGAAGATAACTTTGTCCAAAATCATTGAACCACGACCAAATTCAAACTTGAACTGCTCATTCCTAAGATGTATCTATATGTCAAATTTGAGTTGAATGTGTACAACCATTCGGGAGATAATGAACGGAAACTTAAAATTTCTGATTTTTTTTCAAAGTTCAAGAGGGGATAACTCTGTCAGCTATCATCAAACCATGCCCAAATTCGAAATTGACCAATGCATTCTTATGACATATCCATTTCTTTAATTTGAGTTGAATATGTACAACTGTTGGAGAGAAAATGAATGTGAACTGAAAATTATCCTTTTTTTAAGTTAAAGGGGCATAACTCTGCCAAAAATCATCAAAGCATGACAAAATTCAAATTTGAGTTGAATGTGTAATACTCTAGAGGTGATAATGAACGGAAACTGAATAAATTTCATATTATTTTCAAAGTGAAAGGGACATAACTCTGCTAAAAATCATTGAACCATAACCAAATTCAAACGTGGCCTGCGCTTTCTTTTAACGTATCCATATGCCAAATTTGAGTTGAATGTGTAATACGGTTGGGGAGATAATGAACGGAAACTAAAAAATTTCATATTATTTTCAAAGTAAAAGGGGCATAACTTTGCCAAAAATCATTGAACCATGACCAAATTCGACTTGACCTGCTTTTTCTCATGACATATCCATAAGTCAAGTTTGAGTTGAATATGTAATACCGTTGGGGAGATAATGAACGGAAACTGAAAATTTCATATTATTTTCAAAGTAAAAGGGGCATAACTCTGCCAAAAATCACCGAACCATGACCGAATTCGAACTTGACCTGTCTTTTCTCATGACATATCGATATGCCAAATTTGAATTGAATGTGGGCAACCGTTACTAAGATAATGAACGGAAACTGATGATGACGGAATGGCAGCATGACGGAACAGGGTAACACTATATGCCTCAGCCATTATATGGCGGGGGCATAAAAAAGATTTACATTTCACTTTAGCTCGCCTTTTAAAACAAAAAAAATGGTTATTGTTATAACCATGTTGACGTTCCCGTTGCTACGCAATATCTATTGCGCAATGTCACATTTAGAACGGAAAGTGCGAGGCCGTTGGTATAATTGATTTAATATCGATTGTATAAAATCGATATGGGTATTCTCGGACGTTATGGACATATATATGGTGTAAATTCTTTTTGTTTTGTTTCATTATTATCACTTTTAAATTTTATTTTTTTACTCACCATACAGGAGATGTTTGTTTGAAAGAAGTCTATACAGTTATATAAATCTTTTATTAGAGTTAATGTGTACCTGAATACATGCCATTTGATTTCGATGTTGACATGTTTGTGTTATGTCTTTTTATTACTTTTTATAAATGCCATCTTAAAAATGCCACAGATCTTCAATTTAACTATCAATAAATAATCAGTATGCACAAAATCTAGACTTATATACATGAATTTATAACCACTATTCTATGTAACTGACTGAAGTGTCACCCGTTGTTGAAGAAGGTTGGAGACTTCCCTGAAATCTATTGTCCGCTTGCTCTGAATGGTTTTCCGTTTTCCTACAACAAATATAAAAAAAAAAACTATTTTAACTTTTATTGTTTTTTAACTGTTATGTATCTATATTTTAAACTGTTAACTGATTTGCAAGTTCTCAAACTAACTGTTTTTATAAATGATATTTGCCGGCATATTAATTAGACAAAAAAAGAAAGCCATTAACTAAATTTGTTGTTAGTCAGACAACTAATACATACTCTAGTTCTTGTATCTGACGTCTTATCTCCTTCCTCCGTGTTTCATTTATCGGGTAAGCCCAAAGTGCAACTAATGCAATGAGAGTAAACAATACAGGACCGGGTACCACCAACATCTGCAAAGCTAGTGCCACGGACGCCGGCTGTTTACATTCACCAGTTTTATAGCCACCAAACCTGCATATAAAAGAAATTCACAATGGACAAAATACTGTCAATATTAAAATACTGTTCAATCTGTGCTATGTGTAACGTGTACCGAACGAATATTTAGATATGTATAATAAATTTATTTGGGGGCTACCTGCCGTTTGATTACATACAAATGATTCTTAAATGATCAAATATTATAAACAATCAATTCAAATTAATAATTAAGTTTTTCTCAAATAAACTCTAAAACACTAACGAGCAAATATACAATAATGTCACAGCCTAATAACACACTAATTTAACCAATTCAATATAGATATCTAGCTACAAGCCGATAACTTCCTACAGTCCAGCAACTACCTCCCTATCTATGTAGCGAGGCTTCTATTTGATAGGAAGATAAGCAGTTGGTAGGGATTTATAACAAAGTTCCAGCTAGAATATATAAAATATGTATATTGATTAATTAATGTCTGGATTTTTAATACTTATATATTACCAATTGCCTGATAGCGAGGCTTTCAGGAAATGTGGAGGTCTATAAGTACCCAGAGCTTCACAATCCGGACTTTGTGAAATCATCCAACAGTCTGACAAATTCTACAATGAGCCGGTATTTATAGCAGCTGAGATGCTCACTAGTGCGTAAAACAATTTCATTGGCTGATAAAAACAATCTGTATTATAGAGACGCTTATCATACTTCATTATGCTTCAAACGTCTAATGAAAATACGTATTCCAAACGTATATTGTTAAAATGGCTCACAGAAACATTAATTTACTTGTTTTTATGAAAAACATAAATGATACTACCTCATTTAGAAAGATTCATGCGAAAGTAATACTTACTTGGAATGTAAACAAACAAAACCTTTAAAGAAAACACAGAATTCTTGCTTTGCTTCCAGAATTTTGACATACAAATGGCGTAACTATATTAAAGGGCGGTAACTCATACTATCATGGGCTAAACGTTACACTACCCACGCCTCCGTTTACATGCGTCTCGCATGAAATCAAAGACAAAAATAAAACTTTTTACAACTAACGGATTTATTTTTTTTAACTAAGTAAAACATGTAAAAACAACTTCTTGTAATGTATACTTGTGTTCCTTATACACATTTTGATACAAACTTATCTATTTCAAATACAATGATTACTTATCATTCACTTAACTGTTAATGCATGTAACTATCAGTTAAAAAAAAATTCAGTATCTAACATATAACTTTAATTCCTTTCCTTCAATCTGATATTCAATATTTTCTGCCTTTATCAGAGTATTAGGATGCATAAATTCACTAAGTTTGATATTCATGTTTCCAACACTTAAACCATCCTTTACAACAGATGTCGAAGAAACCAGTATATTTCCTTCGTCAACAATTTCCGTGCATCTGTTTGATATTTGTCCATCAAACTTAATATTAATCTGGAAAGATTTATTTTCATCAGCTTCAATTTTATTAAGTCCTTCATTTTCCCTACTAACTACATACTCTTTTTCAAGCTCTGATATTTCTTCATTAATTGAGGTATCAACGTCATGATTCTCGAAAATTGGATTGTTATTCTGCTTAATGGTTACCTTTTCACTTTTCTTGGGTGGACATATTATTGTTGGTTTGGTCGCTTTCCTGATGATACGTCCAGAGCGTATGTCATTTACACTTCTTTTGTCAGTACACATACTTTCCAAAGTAGTCTTCCCCATAGTATTTTCAACAGAGTTATTATAAATTTCAGGTACACTACAATTATCAGTTAACATCTCAGTCCCTCTTAAGATGTTTTCTTCATTATCCACAGGTTCATCAATTGTTATATCAGGTTCTATATCCCAATCACTTTCATCACTATCTCCAGTGTTGAAAGCACCTTCCGTTTTGGTTTGTTTTTCTCTCTGATTATCTTCAATATTGTTACTATTTAAATCATGTGTGTTTTCTATCTGTGAACATTTGGTAGGGGCATGTATTCGTTTTAAATGTTGTTTCATGTAAGCTGACTTCTTAAATATTTTCCCACATACTCGACATAAAGCACTCTGATTATCTTTCACAACTTGTTTTCTTTCAGTTTTCTTTGTCTTTGCCATCCTGAAAATAGAACAAACATAATCATGTAAAAACTTTGGTTTTCTAATTTCTCTACCATATCTATTTGTTACTACTTCTTCTGTCACATAATTGGTTTCAATGTCCGCTTGAGAATCTGAAATTAAAATGTCATCATTAAACGACAATAAACAACTGTCTTCTTCTTCCATTAATAACTGTGACTTAGCCTTCCTCATTCTGTTCACGTGAATTATCTGAAACGATTCGAATCTACCACAATTTACTTTATAGAGTACATCAGAAATTTTCTCTACAATTTCAAAAGGACCTCTCCAAAATGATGTAAATTTTGAAGAACATCCAACTTTCTTAACAGGAAAATAAACATATACTTTATCACCTTCTTTAAAATTTTCAAAAGAAAGTTTACTATCATGATATCTTTTCTGTCTACGGATTGATTCTCCAGTATGTTCTCTTACTAGTGAATGGGCTTGTTCTAATTTTTCTTGTAATTGCCAAACCCATTGTGACTGAGGAATATTTTTAATAGCAACGGGCATTTCAAAAGCTATATCTAAAGGTGTAGATGTTTCTCTTCCAAGCATGAGTAAATTTGGAGTCATGCCTGTCGTTTCATGCTCGACTGACCTATATGCCATCATTACATAAGGTAGGTTTTCATCCCAGTCCCGATGATGATCTTTAACATACATACTGAGCATCGTTGTAAGAGTTTTATTAAATTTTTCAACCATTCCATCTGATTGCGGATGGTAAGGCGTTGTTCTAGTTTTCTGAATTTGTAGTAAATCACACATTTCCATAAAAAGCTTACTTTCAAACTGTGAACCTTGATCCGAATGAATTATTTTAGGTATACCAAATCTGCTTATTACTTCCTCAACTAATATTTTAGCAACTGTCTTCGCTTCAATATTTGGCATAGCAAAACTTTCCGTCCATTTTGTAAAATAATCAGCAACAACAAGAATGTATTTGTTTCCTCTTTCAGTCTGAGGTAACTCTCCCAAAATATCCATAGCTATTCTTTCCATGGGATACCCCGACCTTACAATCTGCATTGGTGCTCTCTTCGTTTGTAATGGACCTTTTCTTTTCATACATAATTCACAACCTGCTACATAATTTCTCACATCATTTTGCAAACCCGGCCAGTAATACCCTTGTCTTATTTAACTTAGGGTTTTCTTTACACCTAAATGTCCGGATGCTTTTATATCATGTGAAAACCTAAGTACATGACGCCTAAATTTCATTGGTACTATTGCTTGAAAATATGTTATATCCGTGTCAAGAACAAGCCAAGTTCGTACAAGTAAATCATTATGAATTTGTAATCTTTTCCATTGACCCCAAAGCGACTTAATGAAATAACTTTCACTACCTATGTCTTTTGAATCTGGTCTCTTCTTTTCCAGAACCCACCGTTTAACTTTTTGAATATCACTATCAGAACACTGTGCCTCTGCTAAAGACGGACAGTTTTCTGACACATAGTTATCAACAGTATGTAAATGTGAAAGTGTAGCAATATTTCTTTCAGCTTCTGGGTGACCTTTAATACCACACTGTCTACATGGAATCCTACTGACTGCATCAGCATTCCTATGAAGTTTCCCTGGTCTGTGCTTTATTGTCATATTATAAGATGATAACGTTTCTAACCATCTTGCTATCTGTCCTTCTGGATTTTTAAAATTCATTAACCATCTAAGAGATCCATGATCGGTTCTAACTGTAAAAGGCTTACCATACAAATAATGCCTGAAAAATTTGACAAAATGAACTAAAGCCAACAGTTCTTTACGCGTAACACAGTACTTACGCTCTGATTTTGATAAAGTTCGACTTGCATATGCAACTACTCGTTCATTCCCATTAATTTCTTGTGAGAGAATACCCGATATAGCAAAATTACTTGCATCACAATCAAGGATGAACGGTTTGGAAAAATCTGGGTGAGCTAAAACTGGTGCACTTGTTAATTTATCTTTCAATATTGAAAAAGCTCTTGAGCATTCTTCTGTCCAATTGAAATGTTTATTCTTTTCTGTGAGTGCATGCAATGGTTTAGCTATCTCTGAGAACATAAATATGAATTTCCTATAATAACTACAAAGACCCAAAAATGATCTTATTTCTCGAACGTTTCGTGGTTCAGGCCAATTTTTTATGCATTCAGTTTTTTTAGGATCGGTTGTTATGCCTTCCTCTGTTATTATATGACCAAGAAACTCTACCTTCTTAGAAAATAAGTGACATTTTCTAGGTTTTAATTTCAAACCAGCCAATTGTAATCGGTTAAAAACAGTATCAAGATTATCTACCATTTCTTCAAAAGATTTACCAGTAACAATTATATCATCTAGATAAATTAAACATATTTGCCAATGCAAACCGGTTAAAACAGTTTCTATTAAACGTTCAAATGTCGCCGGCGCATTACAAAGGCCAAAAGGCATTACTTGAAACTGAAACAAACCATTTCTAGTAGCAAAAGCTGTTTTAGCTCTATCCTCTGGCTCTACCTCAACTTGCCAATAACCTGAATTGAGGTCTAAACATGAAAAATATCTAGATCCTGCTAACTGATCAAGAGATTCGTCAATCCGCGGAAGTGGGTATGCATCTTTAGTTGTTACTTCATTTACCTTTCTATAATCTATGCAAAATCTATGTGTGCCATCCTTCTTTTTAACCATAACAACACTACTTGACCATGGACTAGACGACGGTTGGATAATGCCTTTATCCAACATGTCTTTTACTTGTTTCGAAACTTCATGAGACATATTTTCAGGTATCCGCCGTAATGGTTGTTTAATAGGTCTAGCATTACCTGTCGGAATTTGATGGCGTATAATACCTGTCCTACCTATATCATCATCTGATTTTGAAAATATAGACGCATACTTCTTTAAAAGTTTTCTTACCT